CTACAACATTTCCGCCTCCATCGGAAATGCAGCCGCCGCAGCCGGGAATCGAACACAATAACTACATTTTTTTTTTTTTTAAATCAGGAGAACAAACTACGTAAGCATGCCAACTTTTGTCACAGTTGGTTCAAAAATAAAAGAGAGCCCCAAGACCCATGTACCCCTTTAAATGTGGTACGGTTGTGAAGAGCCAAATTGTCCACTGGCTAGTTGCAGGCAGCGCTTCGCCTACCCTGCCCCCACCAAGACTGCCTATCCACTTCCTGTAGAATACGCTCACCGCTCACTCTGTTTTAGACCATGCACAGACACGGTGACTCTCCTGTTGGGATATGGCAGTGATGACAAGCTTTCTGCAAGCAATGCGCACTCGGCGATGGTCTAGCAGTCTTAGTAGCGGACGGAAGAGCGTTTGTCATTGCTTTATAAAGGCGTGCAGTATAGTTACAATTGCACTACGCTTGCTCTGCCGTGCGTGTGTTAGCGTCAATATAGCAAGGTTTCTTGGTGCCCACTACCCACAATGCTAAACTCCCCGGCAGCAAGCTGCTTGCGTTTATACAAAGTGGAGCGCACTTCAACACTGTCCTGCACAAAGATGCAGCAGCAATCAACAGCCAAGCCCCCAACCATAGCGGCTTATTAAAAGCATGCAGTAGGCTTAAAGTGGCGCTACGCCACACGCGTGTCCAAGCAGATAGCTGGGGATGATTACTGTCACAAGGCTCTTCGTCAGCAGAAGTCATACCGGTGCGTTTGTTGGTAATCGCCGCCTCGCCTTCATTCTTTCCCTAAGATTATCCGCAGCAAAAGCATTACATTGCACAGGAATCGAAATAATTGATTGACCAATCTCTCCCCTTATCAAATTGACAGAAACAGTTCGCGGGACATTGTGGAGTCTGCAAGTTCAGCAACACAGTAAACTTTCAAGGTGACAAATGTTATCGTAGTACGCAGTTAGCATGCACTAACCGGTATGCATAGGCCTAACCACTACAGCTGAAGCGATTTGCGAATGTATTAGTCTCTACGAGACTGTTGGGGATTTGCCGCAACTACGTTTCAACTGCTAGCATGTACAAAGCAGGTTAGTAAAAACGACGTTAAACTAACTTTGTTATGCCATCAAGTATGAAAAATTCATGCATAAATTACAGACCACATTTCTCCTAGAACTGGTGCTCTAATCATACCAAGCACACTTGGTATAGCATAAAATGCTCGCCTTGAGTGTTCCTCAGCCAGATCATCACGAAATGCTGTTCAAAAGACCTTAAACAGCATCTACAATGGGCATCAAGGCACAATGATATTTCCTGTGCTGCATATTACATGACTGGAACAAGAAAGCTATTACAAAACCAGAGCGTCGAAACGAAATGTTTTTCATTTCGGTTATGATACAGTTCCACCACAAGTTTAATTCAGTTTTTGTTCCAGAACTAAAAAAAATGTTACATCACAGTTTGTAATGGTTTTTATTTGTATGCAAAACTTTGAAACTAAAATAATAATAAAAGCATACAATTTTGGGTGTAGTAAACTTGCGCGCCTCTTGAAAACGTGGGACAGGAATAAAACACTCTTACCACATTCTTGAGAGGCGCTCAAGTAACTTTAGCACTTATTCCCACCACCTAGCGCACAACTGTAACCTCTTGACAACTGGTGGTTGATCTGGAGACTTGTGAATGTGTTGGTATCACCCGAAAAGTTGAAGTATGAAAAATTTTGGGAGGCATCAAAACCACTTCTCCCCCTTAGTTCCAGCTCTTGATTAAATGATATGTGATTGATTGATATGTGGGGTTTAACGTCCCAAAACCACTATATGATTATGAGAGACGCCGTAGTGGAGGGCTCCGGAAATTTAGACCATCTGGGGGTTCTTTAACGTGCACCCAAATCTGAGTACACGGGCCTACAACATTTCCGCCTCCATCGGAAATGCAGCCGCCGCAGCCGGGATTCGAACCCGCGCCCTGCGGGTCAGCAGCCGGGTACCTTAGCCACTAGACCACCGCGGCGGGGCAAATGATATGATATGTGGTATGTGGGGTTCAACGTCCCAAAACCACCATATGATTATGAGAGACGCCGTAGTGGAGAGCTTCGAAAATTTTGCCCATGCAGGGGTTTTACAACCTGCACCGAAATCTGAGCACACGGGCCCACAGCATTTTCGCCTTCATCGAAAATGCAGCCGACGCAGCCCCGATTCAATCCCGTGACCTGCGGGTCAGCAGCCAAGAACTTTAGCCCCTATACCACCGCGGCAGGGCTTATTAATTTGTAGCATTTATTTTTTCAAGAGTGAATACGAATTTTCTTCGCATTGCGGGTAAAAGTAAAACAGGTTGAATGTGCCTGCAGATATGCAACTCTGTTTAAGCTAGACTGTGCCATGTATTGATGATCGGTCTAAAATGAAGTGATGTGGCATGCTGGTTTGATGTTTTTAGTGGCAATAAAAGGCACCTGTTTCACGCTACAGTTGTGTTATTTACCTACGCACCCCCCCTCCCCCTTCCGCTGCAAGGGGTCATTGCTTCCACCAATCCACAAGGGGTCCGCGACACATCCATGGCCGAGAACCACTGCATTACAAAGTCAACCGCCATCGTACATTAAACTGAACATATGCCCTTTGGAAGTGACCCTGTCACTGTTTACTACTAGCACGGTGTCGTGGGGCAACCCCATATTCGTTCACATTTGTTTGTGGAATATTTGTATCCCTCGCTGCCTTTTTTTTTGTGTGTGTGTGTGTGTGTACGTGTGTGTGAAGACTGACGACAGTTCACTACAGCATTCCAAAAAACAGCAATTGAGTTGGCTAGGGCATGTCAAAACTTGGCAGCACACAGCAAATTCTGCATATCAGAGGGAAGAGTGCCCTACTTGTGGACGCAGAAGGACCGCAACACTACATGCAGAGATCTAAAAGAAAACATGACACATTCCGTGTACTTAGAGATGGAAGCGATGGTGTGGAGTTTTGGAGTTTATACGGGAGCTGCTTTCATGACCAAAGATGGTGACCTCGGAGTATTCAAATGAAAGGTTTCAGCTTGTTTCTGGGACTTATGAGCACTCATTTAAAAGGCTCGCTATATAGGCTGCAATGTTTACGTTTATGCATGAACGCCTTTTTTTGGCCTTTTCGCAAGTGGAATAGAGCGTAAATGCCCATGTAAACAAATGACATTGTCACTGTGGTGCAACCTCACAGCAACTAGTCTGGATGTACAGCTCTCTGTCACACCTAGAGCAGAGAGATGGCCAGCAGGATTCACTACCACCATGAACAATTAAGAATAAGGTTTTAACGCTATAGCTGATGTCAAAACCCAGACGTTTCAAAAAAGCATGTAAGGGCTCTGCGTTTTTTCTTTTCCTGTGCTGCCTCCTACCATTTCGGTACAGTTTTGGTAGGGGCTGAGACAACCTGAATGACCGTAATTACTCAAATCTAACGCGCACCTTTTTTCTAGTTGAGCGAGTTTATAAATCACATGCGCGTTAGAATCAATCGAGTACGAAAAAAAAAATGAATACGGTCATTCTATTGCCATCAACATTTCAAAAATGGCCGCCCCCTAAGTGCATCAGCATGGAACGTCGGCCATTTCTGCCAATGTGTTTCCCATGTGCGGCACTTCGTACGTGTGCAGAGGAGTTCGTCATCTTGTAGTGCATTAACATCGACGACATAGAAGGGCCGACTCCAAAGACTCAAGAGTGCACCACGATGCCGCTTTTAAAAGAAAAGTCATCGCGTGTGCAGAAACGTGTGTGCAGGACTGGCGGAAACAAAAGCAGAAGATTGTCAAAGATTCACGCAAAGGCTTCAGTGGACCACAGCAGGGTTGGTTTCTGCAAATTGAAGAGCTGCTCGCCGAGTATGTGCTTGAGCAGCGAGCGGCACAGCGGCCCGTGACGACAGAACTGCTCTAAGTGCGGGCTATGCAGTTAGCTTTAGAAAAAGGGCTAACGCGGAGCCAGTTCAAAGTGAGCAGGTGCTGGCTAACTAACTTTATGAAGAGGAAAGGCTTTTCCCTCCGAAAAAGAAGAGGCATGCGCCAAAACTTGCTGGAGGAGTATGAAGAAAAGCTTCACAGTTTTCAGAGGTTCGTCCTAAACTTGCGGCACAACAACGGCTACCTGCTTGGGAAAATCGGGAATGCCGATCAGACGCCTCTTTAATTCGACATGCCTGGCACGCACCAGAACCGTCAAGAAGAGGGCGAAGCAAGTTCGCGTGCCGACATCAGGCCACGAAAAAAACTAGAGTGACGGCGATGCTCTGTTGCACGTCAGATGGGCACAAGCTTCCCCCCGTACCTGATATTTAAACGGAAGACGCTCCCGAAAGGAGACGTTTTCCTGAGTGGTGAGATCGTGCGGGCCAACGAGAAAAAGGAGTGCGCGTTACAATCGATGTTGCACTTCTTTTTCTGTCGTGGAAACCGGCTGCGCATTAATTACAATCGAGGGCACGGTACCAGAATGACAGTTTTGGAAATGGAGAGGCATTTAACAACTCTCCTGCCGGCAGAAGAGCTCACGTGCTAAGGCATTGTGAAAAAGGCAGATTTATGCAGCCAGATTCACTGAGGCATTAAGACTTAGAAAAGCAACCTTGCACTGCATTTTGCATCGCATGCTCATTCGACAGCAAAGAGCAAGACCGACTAGACACTGGACTGATGCAACGCAACCGAAGTACTTCGGTTCACATTTACTGGGACAGTGTAAATATGCAGTTGTGTCACAAAAGGCCTATCGGCAATGATTTTGGGGGGGGGGGGGGGGGGGGGCAACTTCGAGAACTAAACAGGACATCTTCAATCAGCAGCAACAATCAAAATGCCAGTTTGTAATACAGTAACAATCCTGTGTAAAGCAGTAGAAAATGTACCACGAAGCTATGCTAGCATCTGCAACACATGAACATGTGTGCGCGTAAACGATAAAAATGTTCGGGCACTCACCTCAAAGCTCGCCAGGTCTCTATCAGGATCACCAACAGTGCCAGTAAGAGGCAAATCACTGGTGCGAGTATCTTTCAAAGGAGCAGGCTTTTCAAAAGCTGTCAGCAACGCTGGGTTGTCAGATGTGCTGGGTGCCTCTCCCTCAATAAAAGCATCGAACTGGTCTTCTGGTGTTTGCACACTCACTACCCCATCTTCACTGCAGTACAGTCCTGTGCGCATCGGGTTGGCAAATGTTGATATGAAGGGCCCCAGAGCCTGGTAGGCTGCTATCCGAACCTGCAGTGAATGTCAAAATATTAAGCATTGGAGGAATTCAAAAGACAAAATTTGTCATCAAAATGTCGCTTGAAATATTAGTCTTTACAGTAATTTGACACAATAATTATGCAATAGAGTGACCAGACAAAAATCCAGTTGGAATATGCTTTCATGAATTGAGGCCCCCATGCACCCTGGAGTACTTTTCTGCGATAGAATAGGCAACCTTAAATTCAAGCCTGAAGAGACTGGCCAAATGGTTAAATTCTTGAGTGTTCAAACTGAGTAAGCCGCAGGAAAAATGACACCAATGAATTCGCAGACTTGGCAGTGTTTGGATCAGCATCATAATCTGTTATGTGAGCCCCTACAAATCTACCAAGCAAGCTATTACCTCACCTTCTCAATTTTCTGTAGGTACACCTTTGTTAACACACACTTTCATCCCACATGCAAATTAACTCCAGACTTTGGCTATGTCTTACTACAGTCAAATCAGACTATGGTAAAATCCCATGCAAGTGCCCCGCTCCCGCTCCTTTTTTCGGGAGATTTGAAATACAAGCCCTCTTCTCTCCTCCCAGCACTTTCAGTTTCATTCACATGGTTTAGTTTGATTTATATTGGTGCATAAGCAACTTTGGCCATTGTGCACCAAACTCGTCATTGTATGGTCCTCTTAATACAGTGGACTCCCATTAAACGGAAAAGCAGCATAAATGAAACTATATATTAAATGATAAAAACTTTTGGGTAATCTGAACATTTTTTTCACTTACATCTGCTAAATGAAAAAAACTGGCAAAATCCATGAATGGCAAAAGTGGCCATGGCAGTCTAGCAACCACGACACAAATGCCAAAGCTAGCCTAGCTAAGCCAATTCAGCGATTGCACATGTCCGCGCACATCGAGCAGCAAACGATCCATCTTGTTTCTATCTTTTTTTTGTTTCCATCTCGCGGTGAACATGAAATGGAAACGAAAAACGGCAGCACAATGCACTTTTGCTCTCAACGAAAGTAAAAATGGTTGAAGAACTTGACCGCAACGACCTATCTAAGACAGAAATTGTGAAAAAGCTCAATATTCGAAAATGCACACTGGGGAGGATACCAAGAACAAAGAGAAAATTGAAGAAGCTGCAAAGCTTGGAACTTCACCACGGACAAAATGCGGATGAGAACGGCTCTTTTCTTCGATTCAAGTGTGCACGCAGAGCGAACTTCCTGAGCAGCCCCATTTTCAAAGAGATTGGGCCAAAGAGATTGCTACTCGCATAAGGATCGCGCACTTGCGGGTGAGCGATGGCTGTCCGAGCCCTTTTAAAAAGTGGCATGGTGTTGTCTTTGAGATAGTTTCTGGAGAAAGTGTGGCTGTAAACAGACATCTGTAAGCAATATACGCAAGGGTACACGCAAGGGTACATTTGGGGTACAAGAACCCCAGGTGGTCGAAATTTCCGGAGCCCTCCACTACGGCGTCTCTCGTAATCATATGGTGGTTTTGGGACATTAAACCCCACATATCAATCAAGGCAATATACGCAATATTTTTTTTTTAATTGACTATAGTAGTACTCTATGCTTAAAATGTGTTTGTTTTGTCAGCCACAGTTAGTGCTTTAGAAAAAAAGTCATTTTTCATTCATTTTGTGGGCTTTGCTTAAATGAAACATCTCATAAATGTAAAAAAATGCCATAGGAACATTTCCAGACTATAATCAGATTTCCCGCGAAGCGTTGGTGGCTACGGCAATGCGTTTTGTCTTCAAGTTGCGTCGTCTCACCGATAGAGATCCGTTACGGTCAGCAGACTGATGGGGGCCCGGCATTGTTGCTTTATTCTTGTCGTTCGATCGCATCTCGAGAGTGTCTTGACTTAATGAGCATATTACACAGGGGTGGAAGCGGGCTTCTGTCTTTTGGAGCAGCTTTGGGGGCAGGAATAATGCCGTTTTGGAGAAGTAAAAAGAGTTGTGGAGCAGCTCTGAGCACGTGTAGTGGTGTGTTTTGGAGCAGATTTCTCAAGTCACACACGACTGTTAAAATTTTTAGTTCTGGCAAACACAAAACATTGCAATGGTTTTTACAAAGCATGCAGTCCTTATCAAGCGACCAGACTTACCCCAAATTGATATATATTAAGCCTTACAAAGTCAAAGCTGAAATCGCAGCAACTCAAGGAAAAACACAAGGGGTGCGATGAATAGATGAATGAAAACTTTATTTTAAAATGCTGCAATAATAAAAATGTTATTCAAACACCACATCCATCATGAACAGCAACTCAAGACTAGAGATGAGCTAATATAACAAAAGGTATCTTCAAAAGGTATCTCAAAAGGCACCTCAAAAGGTATCTCAAAAAGTATCTCAAAAGGTATCTCAAAAGGTATCTTCACTAGAGGCACGAGCGCTGCAATCGCTGTGACGGGCAGGGTTGGATCACGTGATCTCGCCTCGCTCTGGAGAAGGAAAGCTGGCGGTTGGATGCATCGTTTTTAATGGCGACTTCGCGGCATTCTCACTTTTGAACAGTGCTGTATTGCTCAGACTTCATCTGTACGAACTTCTTCAGACAACACAATGCAGAAAGTTGCAGTAAACGTTTCCGGCGACGTGCCAGTGCGCTACATACGCGATGACACTGTCGCGAAGTGCCACTGTCGCGGAGTGCCACTGTCGCGGAGTGCCACTGTCGCCTCTCTCTATGTTGTGGTTGTTATTTTCGAGCCCATGGAATTAAAAATGAGTGCAACCATGAATGTTCAAATAAATGCAGAACGCTCCATTTTCTGCACGGGAGCTTCGTTCAAAATGAAAAATGAATGTGCAAACAGTTCGATTATGTGCATCTTGAAATAGATCTCTGAATTGTCAGAGTCAAGATATAGCCCATAAGTCTAGCTCCTTTCCCTTTCTTTTTGTTTTTACCTTATTCCGGCCTATTCGTGGCCAGTTGCTTCCAAGTATTCCGCCAGCGTGTTCGACAAAACCTCCTTTCTTACACCATACATGTGCCGCTCTAATCTTTGCTAAACTTTATTTTTTTTCGCCATGGTAATTTTTATTGCAATCTGCGCCACCCCTATCTTTCTCCACGGGCGCCCGTCCTCATGTGTGTACCCGATCACGCAGGTTTCCAGTGGGTGGCACACTAAGTCACCTTTTGGTGTATAGCGCACAAAATAACGGTCGCCCACACCTTTTTGCTCGACCCCCAGTTCTAATGAAGTGGTGCTCCTCTGAAAAAATTTCTGCTGTACACGCCTGCCATCCCCAACTTCAGCTCAGAACATTCCTTGCTAATATATTATACCTGTAGAATGCGCCCATAGCCACTGCCACTTCCTCTTAATGTTGTTTTGATCTACAGGCAAAAAACTTGGTCAGCTTCAAAAACCGATTCGTCTTAGACGAGCTGTCGTGAAATATCACACAGCTTATGAATAACTGAAAAAAAAAAAAAAGACCCTGTACACAGGCAATTTTAATGAAACGTGAAATTGCCGTTTTGATCACAGTATGCAAGACCTCTCAGCATGCTCAAGGAAGTAAAACGATACCGCTGGCTGACCACTGACCTCTGGAACTGAACCAATCATTCATAACTTTCACGCACGTGTGCCTAGATGGCAAGTGAATGTGCAACGTGTGATTACCGTAGAAATTTTGCGTAATGAGTATTACGAGCGTACCACAGAGAAAACTTACAACTGAATGAGGCACACGTGATTTTCACGTTTTCTCGCAATCGTACCGGAAAAGCTGCGGCTGCATGCTGCTGTAAGAATGCTGTGTTGCTTCTCACAAAGCGAGGAATCCGCTTGCGCTGTGCTTCGTAGGGTTATGTGTGCTAAAAAATGTAATTTGCAGATTCTTGTCATGTCAACCACGGCCCGTTTAGATGCAAACCTACAACGAATGAAGTGGCGTGGTTGCGCGCACTTCTTGCAGCCAAGATATGGTTATTTACCGTTACTACCCATTGGATGCTTATATTCAACACGGGATGAGTCACCTTTTACAGAGGTGGCGCCCTCAGCCACGTGTTTTTTTTTTTTTTTTCATATAGGTGGTCATAGCGGGCAACGCCAGCAATAAGGAATTGTGAGAAGCGCAACATTTTTCCGGGGCAGTTATTGAGTACTTCGTACAGTTAGGGAAGAAGCTGCAGCGGTATTTTATTGATTTCGTTGGGTGAAGTAGAACAATGATAATAAAAACAGAGACGTGAAAGCGGCTGCGCGCGAAAGGACGGTGGAGCAATCTAACCACATACGTCACGTCACAGGGATGCTTCCGCATGGTGGCCCCACGGTATGTCCTCGCGCCTAATAGCGCCCCCAAAAAAAATGAACGCAAGGAAACTTTTGTTCCGGTCATTCAAGTGCCACAACCGACATGAGAAGAGCGAGAAAATTTTGACGTGCTCGTCTCGCCACTGTCAGGAACTTAGGTGATAATTTTTATATTACGATAGGAATGATATATACACTAGACTGGTTTTCGCCAACACAGCCATGTTCCGCATAAACTGCAAGTTGTTACCATTCCCGAGCATTGCATCTTTGATCCACGCGTAAAATTCCGCAAGCTGAGGTGACGAGCGCTGCTCAAGCAGAGATTTAACGAGGCGGCTGACCTCAGTCGCTCGGAGGGCGCACGCTATAGCATCCCACCGCGTGTTAGACCTCCCGTCAGATACTCAAGCAGAGAGCAAACACGACGGTTATCTAGAACAAGCATGAAAAGACATGGGAGAAGGGGGGTCACTCGAGCAGCAGCGGTCAACTTTAATACTAAGGGCGGGGTTCCACAAGGCTAGTAAACCGCTATACGTCGTGCACTCTCAATGGAAAGAAATTATGCCATAAGAGTGTTTCTCCCTAGATCAGCCGTACTTATTCTGTTACACCAGTGTTTCGTAGTTGTGAGTGTCGCGATATCGGATGCAAAAGAGTTAGCTGTCAGCCTTCGTAATGTCACGGAGTCGTGCAGCCAACGAAGGCAGCAG